TGTATACGTATATATATATATATTCAAATGTATATATATAAATATATATATATATATTTATAAATATATATATATATACGCATATATTTATTTACATATATATATATATATATATATATATATTTATATATATATATGTTTATGTAGTAGCATGTCTGAATCGCGTCTCACTTGTATGCTGTTTATTTATCCATGGCTGTCCGGTGAAATAGCCATGTATATATTTATATATGTGTGTGTGTATATATATATATTGATACATACATATATATAAATATTAGTATTATATATATATATATATATATATATATATATATATATTATGTATGATATATATATATGTATATATATATGTTGTGTATGTATGTAATGTATATATATATATATATATTATGTATTTTATTATATATATATGTATATATATATATATATATATATATATATATATATATATATATATGCGTGTATGTATATATATAAATATATATATTTATATAATGTTCATATAGTAGTATGTCTGAATCGTGTCTCACTTGTATACTGTATATTCATCCAGGGCTGTCCGGTGAAATAGCCACTAGTTGCCGCCTCTTTTCGTTCCGCAATAGTACCGACCTTTCTAAATGGGTGGTAACATCCGATGCTTCCATGGGGGGATTTTCTAAAGCTGAGAAAGTGCTCTCTGCTAGGGAATCTGGTATGTATTGTGCAGATTATCACTTTTTAGCGAGCATTGTATATTTTAAAATTTATGTTATAACAAGCACTGTCCTGTTGGCAGGCTTCACTCAGTTATTGATCTAAACGTTAGAGCTGGGTGTAGTAGGAGGCCGTTATGTGCTGTTGTATTATCTATCACGGAATTTAAACTGGTGCGCTATTGAATTTACACCGACAGTCTTATTCCGGGGGACACTGTCAACCGCTGTGCCGGCGACCATGAAAAATAGTGGCTACTGTGCCTTGCGTTCGAAGGTAAGAAGTTGTCATTCTGCGTTGTGCGCAACCGATATTTGTGATGGTGATTCCGCACGTGTCTGTGTCAATAGAACGATTATTGTGACTGATTATATATTACATTTTTGTATTCGATTATTTTAAAAATGACAATAAATTCTTGTGGCTACATGATAACATTCGTTGTTTCTGAACAGCAGTTCTGTACGCTGATAAGTGGTGTCTGTCACGCTCTCCGCGCCAGTTCGGGCTACTGAGGGCGTTTCACCTCAGCGTCAGTGAGATACTTTGGCGATTATTCGTACTTCATTTTTAACATCGACACGGTCGTTGGGCAGGAATTGTCAGCAAGAGGCTAATTCGAGGCTGTGCGTTTCGCACGAGTCTATGATTCTTTGCCGCTTGTTTGTGATTGCTCTGCGTAAACATCCGCTGGTAAACGCATGTATATGGATTATAAATTATTTGAATATTTACCTTAGCCTCTAGCAGACAAGAGTGAACTATTCAAAATACGAGGAAACCACGATCTCTCTGACTTCGATTCTCTCGAAATTCGCCTACGTGGGGATGGCAGAGCTTATGCGGTGAATATCCAGACCGATGGTAAGGGCTAACCCACAAAGTAATTGCGCATCGGCGAACTCCACTGGTCTTCTCTAAAAATGATGTGAAAGTTTGCGATAGTGTGTATAAGTATTTTGTTTCGGCATATCCATCACTTCGTAGCTCGTTTCCCGACTTTTACTTCGCAAATTATCGCAAGGGCTTGAACACAATTCAATCTACTCACGGCATCTTCTACTATACATAAAATCGATCGTCCTTGACGTACAAGGCATCCAGGAGCAAGACCTTTATCAGACGTTTCTATATACCAAAGGAGGTCCTGACTGGGAGACAGTAAGAGTAAGTAGCAGTAACCGCTACATATGACCAGCCAAGTTTGAGGACATACCAATTTGCTTCCGAACGATTGTGGAATGTGCTAGACTCGGTGAACCGACAGTGGGAATGAGCCGGGCTCGTTACAAAGACATCGTAAGGTTTACTCAGTCTCTTACCTATACATCAGTTTCCGTGCACATCTAAAAGCAATAATTGTTTCTTTTACCACACATCAGTTGCCGCTGCGAGACTTTGCGCTGACGTTCCGAGGTTTCATGCAGAATCATCAAGTAGTCCTGAATGCGTCGAATGTACGCACTATCGGCTTCCTTCTCGCCGACAGATTGGATGTATGTTGCAAAAAGACCTTTCTGTCATTTTTACCCACACAACTTATGCTTTGTTTGCCCTATGTCTTGGCTTTTTTTTAAAGTATAACTATTTAACCCTTGCCCTATATAATTTTTTGGAATGAGTCTAGAGAGATAGATAGGGGTGTAATATACTACCAGTGGACTAGACCTCTCTTCTGGGTACATGTATCCCATCCCAACCTTCACTAATTGTTTGCAGCTGGTGCACAAGGCTTCTTACGCTACATTCTTATCCGTTATATGTGCGCAAACGGTATCTATCAGATGTAGAGATCTTAAAGAAACACCTATATCTTGCAGGGTCCGTTCAACCTTGAGATAGACTACATCAACGCCACCAGCTGGGACAAGTGCTATTCTCGTTTGGATACGTATCGCAGACCTACCATATTAGATTTCGCCCGTAAGCAACAGGGCGGATGGTAGATAAGCATCACTGTACAAACCATCGCGCTGTCTGTCCTGTGCCGTATGCAGATCAAGAGTGAAGACTTTTCCGATTAACATAATATTATTCAACCTTCATATTTGAACGATCAGCTCGGAGAGACTTTTACACCCACTATCTTAGTCCAGTTTCGAGCCATATTCGACGGCAGAGAATTGACTCCACATCGACTCGTCACGTTACCAATTTAATTATGGGCACAGGAGATACAAGAAGTGCGCACTGACGCGGTGGTTTCTGTGGTATCCAAACTGGTTGAAAGAAGTAACAATCTTGGTATTTACGATAAGCTCGCACCGATATGCCCAAAGCGTATTCTACGGTGGCAAATGCGGTTCGGACAGATTTAGCCTTGCACTAGAACCGTGCCGTAGATGTGATATGTCTGTCGGCATTCGAGCAGTCTAACAAAGCAATCGACAATTCACTTTCATAATGTGCAAGCGCATGGTGCTGGAAGAAGCGTATGACCCCCGTGAGCTGCGCCTTCTGAACAAGCATGCATTGCTTTCGAACGATAGTTTTAAATCTCAGGAGATAAGAGGCTTTATAACCAACGACTGTGAAGGTACGTTGGGAGTACGTAGCCTGCGTCAATCTTTAGATCGACAGCAGCAACGGTATTTACTGTTCAATTGTGGCAATTTGCGACCCATCTGTATCGCACAACGGTACAAGTAGCGGGACTGCAGGCGCTTGGAGATATGGGGTGCGAAAAGGGTAGTTCATGCCTGTATGTCAAATAGTAGGATTGATCTCTGCAAAATTGATATAGCGAAAAGGGTAGTCAATGCCTGTATGTTAAATTCACTGTCACTAGGATTTTGTTTTTGTCATACAAGTAGGATTGATATCTGCAAACTTGATATATCGGCTGCCAACGCGTTGGTGATTTTGAAACTCGAAGCGGGGGGACACAGTTGACACCCGCTGAGCGCCGGTACGTAAAACTATCAGCACAATCAGTCCTATCAGCAAGAATAACTATATCTCGGTGACAACTGACAGCAACATCTAGAAGTCGAGAGCAATTTACCATGATCTACCCAATCGACCGAAGCTTGCAAGCAACGAAAGTTTGCAGTTTGAAGGCTACACAGTGAACACCCACTGGGCTAATACAATCACCCACACCTTTCACCCACACCTTTTAGGCCATGTGCATTCGGCCGCACAAATTGTTCCTCGGAACGATAGTCGAGCTCACAAAATCAATTAGAAAGCCTGTCCGTTAGCACTGCACCTTGCACTCAATGGCTGAGTTCAAGGTGATATTCCTTTGACCTTTCAGGATCGTTATCATCCGTGAGACGGTGATACTGACTCAAACTATATTTGTCACCCTTCGTAAAAAGCATTTCAGAATTTTGCCGAGGATCGCGAGGGCTGCACGAATAACGTATCGATAAAGACAATAAGGATGTATGCTGCTTGATTGCAATATTATAATTAATGTCGAGGCATGTGTGTGTTGAATTTTCGGCATAAAAGTCGTACTTTTTACGCTTATCATCACCAGAACAGTACCCATTGCAACGCGTGAGGGCTACACTGTGTATTCATATCACAATAGAAGGTGAAAATGACAGCGCAAATTTCCTCTGAATATAACTGACTACTACTTTATTGTTCGACTTTCAATTTCTCTTCGAGTGACCAGGAACATTTGTAAAGTCGCGCTATCCTGAATTTTGTCTTTTGATTTTGGAGACGCATCCCTCAATATTCCGACGAATTCAATCTACAACTAGGTTCATTCTTGAGCTAGTTATCGTACATCTCCAGTGCCATCGATGTCAAATAGGAAGAGAAGAACAGTAAAGTAAGAAAAGGTAAGGTAAGATAAGGTAAATTAAAGTAATATATAGGTGAAAGTATATACACACGTATATATATATGTATTTATATATATATATATATATATATATATATATATATATATATATATATATATATATATATATATATATATATATATATATATATATATATATATATATATATATATA